GGGATTCGGCTCCACCAAATTAGTTCCCTGTCTTGCCCCGCCGCCTTCAACGTCTCCGGCGGCGGCTACCACAACGCCACCCCGACGGCCGCCGTTCGTAATCTTGAAAAGAATTGCCGCAACTCATCCTATTCGGGTTGCACCAAATGCCTCGGTGCCCTCCAAAAGGTAATCTTACTTTTACGTTATAATATATGAAACAATTACATATATCATAAATATGTATTAATTGCTAATCGGTTAATTAATTCCCATTCGTTCATCTTTTAAAGAGAAAAAATAGTTTGCTAATTAGCCGATTACCATGAAAAAAAATTTTTAAAAATTACTCAATGGGCCGCCTTCTTATTGAATTCCTATCTTGTCGTACTGAAAATCTTTTTGACGATCTTAATTAGTTTTTTTTTAAAACTATTTTTCTTGCCTTTTATTTCTCTTACTTTTCAAAAGTTTTATGATAATAAGCAAAAGACACTTAACATTTTTTTTAGTTGAACTATTGCACTCTGCAATCAAATAATCAATATTTAAGACGATAATGCATGCTTTATCAACCATGTTGGTCGAAGCAAACGTCGTTGAATGGTCTCCAATCATGAGATTGTGAATTCCATCCTCCTTTTTTACTCAAAAAAATTCAATCACGCTGAATTGGCTTCTATCATTTTTATTGAAATATTGTAATTAATAAAAAAGGAAAACTGCCCATTTGAAAAAAAGGAAAAAGAGAAAAAAGAATACCGGTTACCGGAAGAATTCTGATTTTCCGGCCTCGAATAATTGAGACCCTACCCATGTGGCTGCTTTCTATTTCTTCTTTCCCCTTTGGACCTCTTTTTCCCATTAGCTAATTTTTACCTACTGTGTCATTTTGAGGGAGTGTTTGGACATGGAAATATGATGTTCTTTGTCTGTATTGATAATTACAGGTTACAGGAACGAAGAATAACGCCACCAGCGACAGGGCGAGCAAAATGTTCAACAGAGACTGCCAACTCATGGGGCTGACGTGGCTACTCGCCCGAAACAAAACGACGTTCATCCCCACCGTTTCGGCCGTACTCCGAGCCATAATGTACAGTGCCCATCCTCCCCACGAGTCTACGTGTAGTCCGGACCAAGAGAACATGCCGCTGGCCGTCGATTCGTTACAGATGGAAAAGGCGCAGTCGTCATCTCCGTCGTCGATTTCTCTGATTCCCATTATACCCCTACTGGTTTCTGTTTATTGGCTTGCTTGGTGGTAGCGGTACTGGGTAATTATGGGTTGGGATCCGTTTGTTTTGTTATTTTTTTTTGGGGGGTACGCATGTCGGGGTCACGTGAAACTAGTGGACAAAAAAGGGATTATGAGGGGCTTTTTTGTCTTTTCGCAACACTGTAAATGTCAAATCTGGGTGGTTTTTTTTCCTAAATCAGATGGACACTTTCTCTCTCTCTCACTTGTGACAATTTTCCTTGGGGCTTTCAAATAAACCAGAAAGTAAACTTGCAGTTCTTAAATCATCATTACACTTTAAAATGTATAGAAAACAAAACATTTATTAATAAAAAATTTGAGAAATTCCACTCCAATCAAATTTATAAAATGTCGCCACTTTTTCTTTTCTATCCAAACATAGTATAATTTTAACTTTTCTCGATATATTTTTAAATTAAGCTAGACTTTGAATAAATTATACTCTTTTTACAAAATTTTAAATTTTATTATATATTTGAAAATACATCTTTATTTTGCTATTTATATGATTATCTAAAGATTATTTATATGATTATTTGTGGTCTTTTTTTAAAGGCTTCTGTTCATTATTCAATATTTAATTCAATTTTAAGTTAAGAGTAGAAGTGAAGTTTCTTAAACAATAAAGGTATAATTGTATACAACCTCAAAGCTCGAGGACATTTCGAATTATTTAGCCAAAATTTTATTCAAGATACATGATTTGATTTCAAATTTTCAATAAGATTATCCTGTGTTTAATGCTGAGATGCTATAGATAAGATATATATTCCGTGAATGTATAATATATTATCTTGAAGGATGTAACTCATGTGGGGGAATATGGGGCATTTCAAAATGAGGGGGAAATATTGGAAATTGATTAGTGAAAAAATCACCAAATTCCAAGACGTTGCAAAATAATGTTCAAAGGGAGAGGAGAGAATTGCGGGTTGAATGTCTGTCTTATGACATTGTGATTGGTGCCCATTTTGCTTTAACAAATTTGATTCTTCCAAAAGGGTGTCATTATTTTATTTGAAAAATTAGTCTCTTGAAATCCTAAGTTACAGATCAAGAGGTGTAATTTTATATGGGTTTATTTGTGGCAGTGAAACCCAATAAAAAAAACAAAGCTACAGCTAGCTACTCTCTTTAAAATCATCCAAATTAACTGTTAACTATCATTTGCAGCAGCAAGTTCTGCCTGCATTTCATTTCAAGATGAAGAAAATGAGAGAACAGCAGAGAAAAAAAGTGGTACTTGATATCAAAGCTTATAAACACAAGGCTAGGATTCAATTGTCTTCTATCTTACATATTTCATCCAAAATATACAACAGGATAAAAATGAGAGGTGATGGGGAAAAAATATTGCTTCAAACTGAAGATATAGATGTAGAGAGATGTTACATGAGGAGGAGGCTTAAGCCCACCATGGATCTTCGCCAGTTCTGAAATCGGTTTCGACCCACGGGACGAACACTACCTTCCCGTCGTCCACATCAGCATGAACCAATGCAAGAGACTGTCCCAACAAACAAAAATTTAACTCTACTTGGTTACTAAATCAACATGTAATCTGACAGCAGCAAGTGGAGGAGGATTAATTGCTTGTTTAAAGGGTTTCAAATAGCACTGAAAAACAAAACCAAGAAGGTCTTGGGAAGTATTACCAGAGGTGCAGGTCCTCTAACGACCCTGCCTTGATTGTTGTATTGGGATCCATGGCAAGGGCAGATGAATTTGTTCTCAGCTGCATTCCATGGCACGACACAACCGAGGTGAGTGCAAACTGCGTTGATTCCATACGTCGCAAGCGTTTTATCCTTCTCGACGACAAGGTAGGTAGGGTCACCCTGAAATCCATCATCACCAGATTCGCTTTAAAAGTACATATATTTTTCCCACTATTTTAGAACTCAAGGAGTCAAGGACACAGTAGCACAACTATAGAACAGATCTTGTTTGAGTAAGGTTGCTATATCTTTTTTTCCTGTTCATCTCTAAGTATAACAGCAAAAAGTAAATCACCTTCAGAAACTCATTAATTGGGTAAGCTCCACATTTCAAATGATTGAAAGACCTCAATCTCTATGTTGGCAAGTAAAAGGGCATATCCTGCAGCCACTTTTTATTTTCATAAGTTTATTACAACTTGCCATTTGATATTTTGATATTCCTTTCCTAATATGCATGTTCCACTTTTCATTTTTGAATATGCTAACCTTTTAGGGAACGGTCGATAATCATATTACTACCGTGCTATTAAACAAACATGTAAAAGAGATGAACCTAAGGTATTGGGAAGCAACAAAGGCTGCAGGGGTGCAAATACATGCTCAGAGTATTAACAACATTTAGTAAGCAAAGTTCAGAGTTTTACAGCACCTTCAACCCCTGTGTAAGGGTTCGATCTCCCGGGCCATGCGCCTTAAGCCATTCAGTTGCAAGAACATCATTTCCAAGTGCATCCTTGGCAACAACTCCACTACCAGCACCTCCAGAACTGTAATTGTATACAGCAAAAGTTCAAAAAAGTTACTAGAGGAACAATCAGAATGCAACAAGTACGGAATCTTAGTTATTTAAGCTCAATTGTACAGTGACATGTAGCACACTATGTTAAATGAAAGTTCAGTTTAAAAGATTAATAACTGGCAGCTTTTAAGATATAGACAACATTGTGTTACTACTAGTAAGAATCCATCTGATGCAAGAAAGAAAAATCCATTTGAATCACCGAGTTTCTGCATCTTAGGGGTGCCGTTTACAAGGGAATTGTAGCATATTATCATTGCAATTTCTCTTACCAGTTTAGTGTCAATACAATTATTGTCACAAGAAGAATATGGACAAGCAATTAACATTGAAAAATACTGCAGTTTCTTCATTCATTTATTATAATAATGTGCCTATTATAAATACTTAAAAAGGTAAGTATGTAATTGCTAATTGCCAAAGCGAGCATAGCTCAGGCAATAATTGGCATATATCTTTGACCATTGTTTAAGTATAGAATTGAAAATTCAAAGAGCTCTTAAATCTTTTTTAAAATTATAGAAACTAAATAAATATCACCTTAAAAGCTAAAGAACTAGTTAGAAACATTTTAAAGGATAGAGACTAAACAGACACCCTGAGTTTTAGAGATCAAACTTGTGATTTAACCTTAATTTCAAATTCGTCAAATTTCATTTGATCCCCAAAATGAACACAAGATTTTCTCATTTGATCTAATTAGAGATTAGGAAACCAGCATAAAGCAAAAGAATCAGGCCCTAAATACTGTATGCTAATCCTTCCATTATCCAGGCAGCCATTGCAGGAGCAGAGAGAAGAACATACCCAGGAGGGACGAAGAAATAGGTATAAGGATACAACATGGTAGCAGTGGGAAGCGCAATTGCACCCAGAAGAAGCAGATTCATGGTGTTCCTTTTACCCATATCGGGCACTCGATCAGCCGGAATACTAGTGGCTTGACACGAGATTTTAACTACCTTCTCCTTCCCCGCCATTTGGGTCATTCTGGGTTTCCTCAAAAGAGCTTGAGAGGAACAGAACAGCGCACTCCTGCTGGCGCATAGCTGAACAGAAACAACAACAATCGCCAACGAATTTTAAGCTCCTTTCAAGATCATGGAACCTAAGTCTCAGAAATGAGAAAATTAAGAAGGTAATTTACCTGAGAAGGAGTTGCAGAAGATAGAGTGGAGGACGCCATGGTTGGAGCAGAGAGTGGAGGGGAATTCTCAGAAACAAATCTCTGGGTAATGTTATATTAGTGAGTGGAGTGGAAATTTGAGAGATTGTGAGGTTGCTGAATTTTGATGTCCACAAAAGGGACAAGATAAGGCAATTAGCCACATCGGTTCGAAATGGCCACAAACATCAGAAATTTGGTAAAAATAAAATAAAATATCTATTTTCTTCCCTTTTTTTAAGTGCAATAAAATGAAACTGGGCCTACTGGGCTATAAAGTATTTGGGCCAACAGGGCCTAATGGCTTTATATGAAAAGCCCAATTTATTTTCCGGTAAGATCCGGTCCAAAATGTAACAAGGCTGCCGTTTGTAGCTCACAATAATGCAAAATTTGATTGAAATTTTAACTGAGTAATTTACTAATTTAGTATTATGCAAGAAATAAATAGTAATGATTTTAAGTTTCTTTGTTAATAAATATTGCTTTCCTCGGTTATTAATTCTGGTTTCATAAGTCAATTTGAGCATAAATTAATAGATAAAACATCTATTATCATCTAAAAAAATGTTTCATAAAACATCGATTGTTCAATTTAAACAAAAAAAAAATGTTTCATAAAACACTAAATCATAATAACTAAAATATGAAACAAATATTTGGTTGATGAAACCTACAAATAACTCATTTAAATTTTGAGATAACATAAAAGTTTAAATTTATCTACCAGCTTTTAAAATTATTCTAATTTGGTGATTGAACTTTCAAATTATTTATTTTGGTTGATAAACTTCCAATGACATTAAATGTTTTCTAAACATATTAATCTTAATTAGTGTACTAGAAGCTACATTGGTTTATCAAAATAAGTATAAGTGAGCAAATATTAGGGGTAGAATAAGAACAATAATTAAAATGATAATTTAAAAAAATCAACATATTTAAAAAACTCTGTGGATAAAAATAGAAGAAACGATATTATATTAATACAAATTAGACAATTGTGATTAAAAAACAAATTAAACTAAAAAGATATAGCTGAAATTTTGTAATACAAATGTAAAAGAAGAGAAGAAAAGAAAAGTGAGTATTAGAATTAAGGCATTGAAACTTCCATTAACTAAATACAATATATTAAAAGTCATTAATCGAAGAAAAAGATGGAAGAAAAACACATCCAAAGCAAAAGATCACAAACCCATATTTAATTTTCCAACAGACCACAAGAATTTTCTTGAGTCATTTAATAAATTGGGGTGTTATATTTTCAAAAGAACAAACACTAGTTGGAAGAAATGAAAAAGAAAAGTAAATAATGAGAGAAATTTTGGAAAAGAAAATAAAGTGGTCAAGTCAAGAAAAGTTTTGGAAAAGATTGATCTCCACACCACTGGAATCCTTCGACGACGCCGTATTGTCGTCTAACTTTCTTACAAAGTTTTTTAGAAAAATTAAACCCCTCTTCAAAAGTTTGTACGAAAGAGAGTGTCTGAGCTCATAACTGCTGAGTTCAGATTAGGGGTTGGTTGGAGTGAATTGGATTACCTTTTCTGAATCACTGGATGAATTCTCGGAACATTCGGGAGATCTGCAAAACAAAGTTAGCACTCCAACAAACAAGTTAGTTGAGGTCTGATCTAACTGATTCTCTCTCGAATTGCATACCTTGCATTTAACGCTAGGATTTCTATTTATAGAAACTAGGCCCGACAGGAACTCTGACACACCCTAAAAATGCAGCGTGTTGTCGGGTTCGGAAGAGACTAGGTTATGGACTTTACCGAAGGTCGGCTCGGCTCGGCTGTTTAGGTCATACCCTGATTGCTGACCTAAACGTTTTTGCTTCGATTTCCACATTTCATGCGCGTGTCAACTCAACTTACCTCTTCAATCATGTCATGTGGCAGGTCAGGATTCGTATCGAACAGAAAACAATTTTTTTTTTTAATTATCTCTCCCCTGTTAAAAGGTAAAGTCTTTCCATGGACTTTGAAGTGTCTTCTCCCAAAATTTTCTTTTCATTTGTAATTCCTCTAATATACTCACACAACTCTCAATGTGCATTCATTTTCTTTTTCATTTGGTCATATGAAATTTTGTTCCACTAAAGTTTTGCTAACAATCTTATGAGATTGATTATTATAAAGTAAATTATCAAGAGCCATTTTAGGTGTTAAAAGTTTTTTTTTTATTTTGTTTATTACTTGTTCAAAAAAATTTTATTTTTACTACATTTCATGGACATTTTTATAAATTTTAGAGCTTGTTATTTGTATTGATATGGGCATGGAAGATTTCAATGATTACTTACAGAATTTCGATATAAATATATTACTCTCTTCTCGATCTGAATGATATTAGTCTTTCAACAATTTCAACAATTATAAGGATGAGAGAAGATTCATCCAAACAAATTCATGCAAAATTTAATTAAATTCAAAATAGACAATATATCATATCATAGTAAAAATGTAAAGAGACTCATTATCTAAACAAGTGGTAGATTAGAGTAATGTTAATCTAAAAGTTAATCGTATTGCAGAACAAAAGAAGTTGTAAGCCTCATAAAAAAGATAAGATTGTCTAGTTGAATAAGATGTATAAGAAACATGGTATTAAATATCTATAGATCGACATGTCCATTGACATATCCATGTATTCATGGATTTGACATTGAGGGTAAATCGACATTTCCATAATATTAAAAAGAAAATTAACAAAATAAGAAAAATATCAAGAAAATTTCACTAACATAGATATAATATTAATATTATCATTTTTAACTTATTTAAAAATGGTGAAACGATTATTTGTTAATTAAAATATTTTGTCGAATTTTTTACTTTTATAACTTTTTCAGAAATATCCATTAAGATCGACATTGTATCGATATTTCCATCTCAATTTCATATGTGACATTTTTACGATGGACACGGCCATTTAAAATCATGATAAAGAAAGAGATAGGTTTGAAAATGTTAACAATAATATGCACAGCTTAGCTTAAAAGTGTTCCAAAGATGCGATGCTATATAGCTTGTTGGAATTGGGAAATGTACATTCGATGCCACGAGGTGCAATCAAAAGCACTTTACAATTTCAAAAGCAACTGCTTTTTCTCAAACCTCACATTCTCACACGCAGGACGACCCTAATTTGTAATTAATTAGTTCAAATCATGTCTCTTGATTTTCCCAAATTAATGGATTTCTGATTCAGCAACAGATTTATTTTATATTTTGGACATTCTTTTCAAAAAGAGATATGATCATGAACTCAATAGGAAATTTGAAAAGAAAAATTGTGATCCCAAAGAATATAATCAAGGCATCGTTTTCCAGGTTCCACTACTTCCACCAACGCTACTATAACTTCCCATTAATTAAAACATAATTTACAAAGATTAGTGGCTCTAATCCAAATAAATTAGACATCATATCCAGCTACTTTGAAACATCATTATTGATACCTTCATTTATTTTTTATTTCTTTTGATATCACATGATACATGAGGCCCAGAATAATTCTTCTCTACCCTTAATTTCATATGCCCATACGTTCATTAAAGAATCTTGCTTTGCTTCCACCTTTCCTACATTGATTCCGTTGGACTCAAAATTATAAGGCGATGGGTAAAAGTAAATTTAATTCCATATAATTTCAACGTTTTTATTCAATAGGTAAAGTTAAATCTTTTTAATATTCTCACTTTAACAACTATATTGGATGGTAAGAAGAGTATATTAGTCAAAGTAAAAACTACAAAGAAAGCCAATTGCTCTATGTCCCCTCTCTAGGTATATATTCCTATTAGGTTAAAGTAATATTTTCAGACTTATATTCTATTTTACTTCTCTTGTCCAAATTCAGTCCTTCTACTCTCGACAAATGGTCACATGGTTAATGTTTGAGGTTATTTTTCATTTGATTCAAAAAAGAAAAATAAAAAAAAAAACAATAACCTCCATTCAAAGAAGGAAGAATGCGTAAAATTGTTTTTCGAAATTTTAAATGGAAGATCTCTAAAAACTTTCACATCGACTAAAATAAAATAAGTTCATGAACGACTAAAATGACATTTTAATCTATATATTATTATCTTTGTTAAGCTTTCTTTTTTTTTCCAAATACATCCATCATTTGAGTAGCATATGACACAATTCTATGATGTACTAAAAGCTCTACACAATTACACCCATATATATGAATATATACATACATGTTTTAGTACTAATTAATCATACAATTGGGACTGGTCATTTTCTGAGTCAATTCTTTCATTACTTGGTAGATCAGCAAGTCTTCATCAAAAATCAAATCATAAGGTGAATTGAAGCCTCCTATAGAATCAAAGTAGATTGAATCTTCACTCTCAACTTCCAAAAAATTTTCTGCTGCTTCAAATGGGTGAGCCCAAAAATCTGCATTATTATCATTATTTGGCTCTTGAAATGAGAATGATGTTACTGTTGTTGGAGCTGGGCTGTTTTCTTCTGCAGCCATGTCTATGGTGGAAGCTGCGGATTCTTGAGTGGAGAAGACATTGGAGGAGAGTTCAGAGGACAAAGGGGAGAGTACTGGTGAGCTTTCGACAATCTGATGAGAGGGAATTATGTCGTTTTCAAATGTGGTTTTGTTGATTTCTGATTCTATTTTTTGGATGGGTTTTGGCTTGGGAATTGCCTCGTTTTGTTGCTTCTTTGTAACCTTGCTAGTTTTGAGCTTCTTCAAATGGGTGTGCCAATAATTCTTTATTTCGTTGTCCGTTCTTCCCGACAATCTTGTAGCTATTAGAGACCATCTGAAAAAGAGATTAGTTACAATCCATCATTATAACTAATGCAAACTATTTTTTGATTGGAGATTTAAACCTACCACCATACCTACTAAATAAAGATGCATAACTCAGTGAATCAAGTACTAATTACCTTCCAGGGATGCATTATTGATACAAACTAACCTTACTCTAAAGATGCAAAATTTTCACGCATAAGGTGACAAAATTCTTGAATTTTCTTTGCATAAACATAAAATACTCAATTGATTGAAAGGGCTACGAAACCGGCCATTTTGTTATATTAGACACCCAAATGTTGAATTCTTCTTCTCGAAAATAAATTGAATTATCTAGCTCGGATGACATGTGATATTACTTAACTTCTAAATTGAAGCATTAGAATGGTCTATTTGAGCGTAAAGGTCAATCCTTCCATCTCTACTCCGCAATTTTTGAAGTACTTGAAGAGAGAAAAAAAAAAAAACCATATATAGAATGGTGTTGGGTTTAGGGATTTGACGAAACATTAGACAAGAACAGTGATCATACTTGTTTCCATGTTGTTGATGCAATTTAAGGATTAGTTCTTCCTCATCTTTGGAGTAATTCCCTCTTTTCACATCCGGACGAAGGTAGTTGATCCACCGCAGCCTGCAACTTTTTCCACACCTCGACAAACCTAAAGTTAATGATCAAAAGATCAAAACCAAAAATCTCAATAGCCCCATCATAATTACATATATATTTAATTTGACTTAACATCATATTACACAAAAAAGACAGTGGAAAGGCAAAGTTAAGTGGAAAAAGGAGTGTTTTTTCCAAATGGGTTATTTGATCTTTATGAAATTAATGAACTTGTAAGAAAGAAGAAGATGAATTAAGGAATTAATTAAGAAATTATTAAATTGATTATTGAAGTACCTGCAAATCTAGGGAGCTCCCGCCAATTGCAATGGCCATGTTTCTGAACATAAGCCTTTAGTTTCTCATCTTCTTCTGCGCTCCATGCTCCTTTCTTGACTCCATTTTCATCATAAAAGGGAGCTCTCACCATTTCTACAGCTCTCTCTGAGGTCTGTAAGAGCAGAAGATATCAGAGAGAAGTTTTGAAGGTGAAAAATGAGTGTAGAAAAATAATTTGGGGCTGAAGAAGACTCAGAGTCCACTGAGAATTTATATATTTGTGACTAAAAACAATTGTTCAAATTACGGCTGAATATAGCGTCTCAAAAAGAGGAAGATGCCAAGAAAGATGTCACCGTGTTTCATCAAAACAAAAGCAGACAAATTATCCAAAGTCACCCAAAAAAAAGCATCACGTGAATTGACAATCCGACCAAGGGAAACTTTTTTCAAATTTTCCTATAATTTTTTTCTTATAAAATTAATTTCCTTTCAGAAAAGAAAAAAATTTATGATTCAATGACTAAAGAAAAGTTTAAATTATTGTGTACCTTAGGATCACTATTTTTTTTTTAATAGATAATTGTTCTACCCATCTTGAGTTTGTCTAATGTTATGGTTGTGACTTAGAATATTAAATTTATTTAGCTAAAATATCAATTTAATGTATTGCAACAATCGACTTTCAATTGGAAAATCTCTAATAAAAATCTTATTTGCGTTTAATAATATGAAATTAATGAAAATACTAGAGTTAGATTTTTTTAAAAAAAAAAAATTATGAGTTCTAGAAGTTATTTATTTCTTTTTTTCTCTTTTCCGAGGTGGGTTTAGCGAAAATTGAAAAAATGTAAAAGTTGATGTACCAATGTAAAATTTTGATTTTTCTTTTTTTTTTTTACATAAAAATTTACGGCCAAGAAATTGAAACACGTTGTGCTTATCAGTAGTAGGATTGGTGCTCTTTTTCGACCTGATGTGGAATAAAATGTGTTTCAATTTATTTTTCTAGAATTTAAACTATTTATGCGATGTGACATCCATATTCCTTTAATATTTTATATTTGGCAATGTTTTCACGTGAAATATCTTTTATGATAATGAATGGCTCACTGAGATTAGAGTTTAATATGCTTCTCATTTCTGATGTTTAATTTTGCCACATATGGGTATTTATAAGAGATTACTGTATTAGCATATTTTTCTTTTACAAAGATGGCATATTTACAATGACTTTAGTAAGAATATATGTTTTTGGATATTTTAGAAAATATAAATATATCCACTTATATATGTTAAGTTAGGAAGTACATATGATTGTGTTTGCTTTGACTTTTTGAGAGAATTATAAAAAAAAAAATTATACAAAAGAATATGTATTTCTATATATAGCATTAGATTTAAAATTTTATAAAAATAATATAAATTAATATATGAGGCAAATCAAAAATCACTTTTATGACCTTTTTAAAAGAGAAATAAAAAGTAATGATATTTTTGTAAATACATATTTATTCTACGTCATTTACTATAATTTTCCTTATTTTTTTTAACCAAAATTGTTTGGAATATGTTGACTTTATTTATGTAAAAAGTGAAACCGGACTTTGAATCTTTAGAAAAATCTAATCAAATCGATTGATTCGATTATGGTTTTTCGACTTTTGTGATTGTTCTAATTGTTTTAATTGTTTAACATTTATATTTTTCATGATATTTACTTGTCATTTATAAATTATTTAAATAAATTAGGAAAAACCATAATTATATTGTGAATATATACGTGTGTCGGATATGTGCTTGTTTGGTTTAATTGGGCTGTTTGATAATAATTTTTTTTTTAATTTTTTTTGTCTTCTGTTTTTAATATGTTAGTAATTAAGTACTTGTTGAGATGTGTTAGAGAGAGAAAAAATGGATAAATACATGAGCAGCTTATTTTGAGAATTTCACATCTAAGGCACACGATGTAGGTTAGAGTATTAAAAAATTCCTTCGATGTATTTACCAATGACAACAAGATCAGCATCAGACATTAAAATCGACTCCCTATCTTTCGGGCCCCGTTCATGGATACGGAGTATTATCTGTTTTCTGGTCTGTGTCCGAAGTTATAAACCATATCAACTTATTGATATGAAGTATATTTTAGGTATATGCAACGTATACTTTGTAATTTTACATAATATTTATATTTTTTATGAGTGTTTTGGTCAGTTTACGTATACCTCAACTAATCTCACGAGACAACCGTTCGACCCTACTACATTTGGTTGCTAAAGAAACTCATAGGATATAAAATCGTGCGTATGTGGCCATCATGGTTTGGATTCATTTTCTCTAAATTATTTAGAATTTAACTTAGTTCTTTGGACCGTATGATTACATATACCCAAATACACATATCACATAAACATATCCTTATATATCTCATATGTAGAGGTGTATATTGAATATATGAGTATATATTATTCAATATTTTGAGTACATAAACATCTTTGATCTTACTAAACAACTAAAGAATCATACATTATATACATAAAATAGATTGAAACAGCAGTGATATTATGAAACGAAAATGACAAATACATATATTTATATTATTTAAATTTTAATAATAAGGAAACATATCATGACATGCCCGAAATGAGAAAATTGCTGTAAATATTTTCCATATTTAAATATTACGATATTTTATAGCATTAATATAATTTTCCATATTATATTAATTTAGATTAACATCAAAAGCTTAGTATACTTAAAAAAACACATCAAAAGCTTAATAACGAATTTTATGGCATCATTAATTAATGAAGTTTTTTTTTAGCAAAATTTTTTTATCATTTCTATATAAAGACATGAAAATAAAAGTTTAAAGAGATAAAAAAAAGAGACGGAATGAGTTAATTTTTAAGGAGATAAGAAAATTCCGAGAAATAAAAGTTAGAAAAAAAATAGTGATAAAAGACAATAATAGAAAATTTTAGAGAGAGTAAAGTTGAGAGCAAAATTGTAGTGAAAAAAAATTTAGACAAAATAAAATTTGAAATATATTTGTTAGAATGAATAAAAATAAAATATCCATTCAAAATAAAATTAAAAAAAAAACATACACATTTCATCTAACAAGACTTCCAATAATTAATTTAACTTGAAACGATTTATTATAATTATAAAAAAAATGGCCCATTGAAAACAATATTATACTAACAATATATGACAACTTCATTAGAAAAAAAAAATCCTCTATTTAAATTTGTATGGCCCGTTTCATAGCCATTTCTGTTTTTTGTTTTTGGTTTTTAACTTTCTTATTTTTTATTTTTTAGTTTTCTATTTTTGAAAAATAAAAATCATATATGTTTGATAACTGATTTTTTTTTTGTTTTTAAAAAATCGAAAACAAAATATGTTTGATAACCATTTTTGGTTTTATGTTTTTAAAAAGTTAGAAAATTGAAAATATATATCAGAAAGAAAATTATATCTAGAATATGGATGACAATAGTGTGGGACGAGATTGAAGATGTGCTCATTCATTCTCGTACTCGTGAAAATTTTTAGTCCACCATCTCCACCTCGTTCTTCGGTTCGGGAATCCAGAACCATATTAAAGAATAATCGTTATTTTGGAAGTGGAATATTCGCGGAAAAAACTACCGGTTTTGTAATTAAATTTAATTATTTTTAGAATTTTATAAAAAATGTAATAAATATATATGAATTTTAGAATTATTATTTACTATTATAAATAATTAGTTTTAAAAAATATTTAATATTTTATTCACAATCTAGTAAATATGTTAATAAAAAATATTAATTATTAAAAAAAAGCATCGGGATGGGTTTGAGATAACATGCATTTCCTATTTTTAGAGCATGACTCGACCCTAGGAAATTTTTTATCAACCCTAATATAAAGACATTGAAATACAAATTTAGACGATGGAAATAATCTTTTTAAAGAGAAATTTTGGAGAGAAAAAGAAAATTAGTGAAAGAAAATTTAGAAAAAAAAAAATTCTGGTGAGAAAAAATTTAAAGATAAAAACAAGATTCAAAATATAATTTTAGAAAAGATAAATAAAAGTTATAGTGAAAGATAATTGAACGAAAAAATAAAATATAATTTTTAGAAGGAAAATTGATTAAGGAGGAAAGACAAAGTTTTAAAAAATTAAATTGCAGAGAGAGAAAAAGTTCGAGAAAATATTAATTTTTAGAGAGTGAAATGAGAGTGATTTATTAGAAAAAAATAAAGATACATAAAAATAAAAATTTTGAAAAAAGAGAAATAATAATAAATATTTAAAATACAAAAATTTTAGTGAGTGAAAAATAAATTTTGTAGAGAGAAATTTAGGTAAAAAAATTTTTGAGTGAGAAAAATTTTGTTAGAGATAAATATGAGAAAGAAAAAAAGTTGAGTATTAAAAGAAAAATTAGATTTTAAAAAACATAAATCAGTTTTTGAAAAGTACCTTGAAATTTACCTAAGATTCCAAAATGATTTTTGAAAAACTAAAAACAACACATCGAATGGATTACCGAAAAAGACCCTATTTTTAAAAAACTAAATCAAAAATAAAAAACGAAATGGTATCAAAGGAACCTAACTTTTTCTAATTAATGTTTAAGGGGGTAAGAATTTGATTAGAGAAATTAGATACATAGAAGGCAAAATTATGTTTTTCTAAAAAGAATTAAACGAAACTAGTGAATAGTTTATATATATATATATATATTAAAAAAATAACTTTTGTGGTCAATTTATGATTTAAGGAGAAGAGAAGACTTGTAATTAAAGTGTATGCTTTTGCTGACACAAACCATCTTGGGTGGCAAATATGACGTTTGCCGATTGATGTCACAAAACATTAACAATTTAATTTCAGGCATTTTTTCTGTTAAATCATAAAAGCAAGTCTATATATATCTGTCCCATCACATGAGTTTCCTATCAATTAACTATTATTATTTTTAATTATTATATTATATTTTAAAAACAAACCAGCTACTTTTTATTTAAAAAAAAAAAAAAAAGACCAAAGTTTTAAAATTTATAATTTTGTACAACGGTAATTGGAATTGTAAATGGTTAATTTAAAATCATATGATAAAGATTTTGTGTAAAGTTTCCATGTGAAATAGATGTATGTTCAGTTGAAAACTTGCATTTCTGGGTTCAGAATGCCCTTTCAACCCTAAGGAATATTTATGTACTTT